ATTACAACATGGATTCACGAATATATTAACAAGAACAACAACAAAGAAGCAAAACCCGCAACCCATAAGAGATGCTCAAACTACTTTCCGTAGTCCTTATTATTGAAATCATCCACATTGTAGAATGCCGCAGCTACAGATCGTCCTCCGAAGAACCGTCCATTCATGACAACAAACGCTTTGATTGCTTGCGCGACATTCGTGAATTCCACAAAAATCCGTACTGCCAGTTCATCGCTTACATTGTTTAACTAAAATCATGATTCCATAAGCATATAAAAAACTGCGAGACAAGGAAAGATACCTTATGAATGACAACAGAAGCTACTTGTCCATATTTTGCCATTTCGTCACGGATTTCGGGCTCGAGCTCGTCGTCCACTTCATCGGGACCAACCATATTCTGCAAGTAATTGAAGCAAGTTCAGTTATAAGGGTACGATCGTAAAGCAGATTGAAAATTTAGTCAGAAATACACGAAAATCTCTTCCACAAAAATCTGGATTGGTATACAAAACGACCCTCAGTGAGCTAGAATAGAAACTTACCGTCAACATAAGCACTTTTGTTGATCGCTTGATTGCTTCAGCCATATTCACGGGACCCACACCCATAGGAGGTGCCGTCACATGAGGCGGATTGCTTGGATTACTTTGGCTTTCATTAATAATCAGTCCCGCATTCTTTCCAAGTTTCTCTACCGTCAGTGCTGTACTCATTCCCTGTTCGTCTCGACCTGAAATGATTCGAATTTACTAGATACTGAAGGGACTCTTATTCTGACTTACCTAATCCGGCACCCTGCTTATACCCAAATTTGCTCATAATGTTCGCAGCTACACCAAGACCTTTCGAAGTTGCTTTACCAAAGGAAGGCAGGAATGCCGGTGGCGGCATACTCGCAGAAGAAGGAGGAGATGATTCCTGAACAATAAGCATGGCTGATCTCAGTATTATGATCGTTGAAGACAGTAGTGGCTCGGCAGATTTTCGACTCTAACAGTAAGTTTTCTTTTCATAAAAGGGTGCAAGAATCAAAAATAGTTCGTATTTTTAGAAATA